AGTGAAACAGTACAACTTATGCTAAAAAATTCCAAAACCACACCACACAATTATAACGGTAAACCTGCAGATTTTGACGCCAAAATTGGTCCGAGAATATGCTGATCAAGGTCTCAAGGACCAAAAAAACATCCAAGTTGAGGTTCGTTTAAATTTATTGGTATGGTAAATAGGTTTTTAAAATGTATCATTACAAAATCATCAAAATATTATCAAAAGACAAATCCTCTCTTATCACCCTTCCGAAAATCCTACAAGTTGCTGTTCTTTTGAAATCATAGTCATGTATCTGTCATCGTAGCATGTGGTTCTCTCCGAACCATGTACAATTATAAAGAGAATGTTTCACAAAATTTGCTCACCCCAGTTTTGGGGTAAATTTTGTGTACAATGAATTTTTGATTTTTTTTAATTTTTAAGTATCGTCAAAGCCGATATTTTCAATTATTTTGAAAACATTTTCTTATGAACAACTTTTATACAAGCAATTTTCCTTCGATTTATACTGATAGTACTTTTTTAAAAAGAAAATTTGACTGGGGAAGTGTTTAATAAAGGTCTTTTTTTGATTTTCTCAAGAGTTTTCTCAATTACTATATTAAAAAAAAAAAAACCGGAAAAATAGGAGGAAATAGAAGTGAACAGGTACATAATCGTTACATGAAAGAAATATTAATTGTTTTATCATAATATGGCATATATATTGTTGACAAAGCAACACTATAAACTGAACTTCGTTCAGAATCTTTTTTCGTTAGTAATGGTTTATCGTTGCATACAAGTATATGTAATAAATGACCTATAACAGTGGCTGTATCCGTCTACATTATCCTAGAACAAATTTTTTTTTCTTCTTTTTTAATTGCACGCATGGTATTAAACCTGCAAATACTTTTTTTTGACAATATTATTTGCTGTCGGCAGTCAAGGTATGCTTGTAAATTATAAAATCTGAGACAACAAATGCGTACACCCGCCAAAAATGCTTTTTAAATCTATGTATCGTACAGTTTTCATGTATGTTTTAGATTTCGTATTGTTTTATTATAATTTTCTCAGGGGGCCTCAAATAGATCACATTTCAGGGGACATTATTTTTAATTAAATTGAAATCGTTGATAGATTTCCATATCAAAATAAAAAACTTAAAGTGGGCGTATTCCTTTATATACCACTTACCTCAGTGGCGCCCAAGTATTTCACAGTACGTATAATAACATGATGTATTATTAACACCCGCCTAACCACCCACATCAAAATATAATTGTACTAGTTAATAAATATTATTTTAAGTTCATCCGTTAAACCTATAGCAGTCACTATACCTTTCATATAGGCTAAGTGCCAATGAACGTGTAAAGAATTTATACTAACAATTTTCAAAACGAAATTTATATATATATAAGTATAAGCTTAAATAATTTACTAAAAAAAAATTTCAATGGCTTTTTTGATTCTGAGTGGAGCGAAGAATCTTATGGTTTTACAAAGATATTTATATATTCATTTTTTTTTCTATGGACAACTTTTCTATCAGAGGACTTGTTCCGACTTTTACGAATAGCAGATTTTTGAAAAGAAATCGATGTAGGAAAGTATCTATGAGGTCATTTTTGATTTTTTCAAGATTTCTCTCATTAAGTGTGAAAAAAAAAAACGAGAAAATGTACGAAATGTATTTGTATAATATTATGATTTTTTTTTCTGTGGATAACTTTTCTACCTGCAATTTCGCTACAATTTTTATTGATAGCAATTTTTAAAAGGCAATTTCACTGGAGAGATAGTTTAAATACATCATTTTTCGATTTTCTTTAGAATTTTCTCAACAAATCTGAAAAACCGGGATAAAACATGGGAAAACCGGAGAAAAGTAGGAAAATCGGGAAAATCGATACAAAATTGAATAAATATTATTAAAGAAAATATATAAAACCTATTTAATTATTTTATTATAAAATGATATATATTTTGTTGACAGAGCGTCACTATCAACTGAACTCCACCCAGAATCGTTTTTTCGTAAGCAATGGTTTATCGTTGCTTACAGGTAAACTTTAAATTATCTATAACAGTGGCTACCCATTCGTTCCCATTATGTTAGGACGTCTTTTTTTATTTCTAGTTTCTACAACTAAAACTAAAATATACGATTTCAAACTTGTTAATTACCTACATTTGCAATTTAGAAGACGTACATTTATTTCTAGGGGACACACACAATTTTAGGCCCTGGCTTTCTCGTGAGGACCATAGAATTTCGTATTTGTACACTAAGTATTTTATTTTATTACACATTAAAATTTATTTAATATTTTCTTTTCAAATAGTGAAAAAATACATTCACACATTACACCGCAATATAACGAGGACTTCTCGTCAACGATGAATACGACGAATGGGAAGACGAAAATTTTCGAAAACAAAATCTGAAGAATAATTGAAGTATACTCGATGTAGTCATGGGAAGAAAATGCATTGGATTTTAGTGAGTTTACCAATTTCTAAATTCTGTTGGCCTATATAATAAACAATACTATAATAGGTACACGGATACGAACTACTAATATTAATTATCATTTGAAAAACGAATAACAAACAATTATTTAATTTCAAACTAAATAAAAGTTTTGATAGTTTATTTAATACTGTTAATAAAAGTTTTGATATTTTTATCTAACGCTCTTAATTTAACGGTTTTGACTTAATATATCATTTACGAGAGACTTTCGTTTAGAACAATGATCATTTTCAAGAACTTCATTGGATTTGGTAAGTGAATAATATTATTATATCGAGTTTAAAGTAACGTATAACAAAATGAGATTAAGGATAAGGGCGGCCGATTGATATACACTATGATGAAATCTTCCGTAAGTTATCCTCATCCGTTATTGGCTGCACGAAAATTTCGGCTCTTTATAATCTATCTGTCGCTATTCATTTTCATTCAAATTTTATATTACTATATAATATATAACTGTTAGTTGCCCGATCTTCTTCCGAGAGTAAAGCAATTTAATGTTCTATATTTTCACATCGGTAAATGTGGTATATTTTATTTAATTTTCTAATTAAATACCTATACTATTACGGGCATAGTTATTGGAAATCTTAAGTTCGGCATGAAAATTTTAAAATTAAAACACGTTAGAAATCCGATACATCGGTTATTACATAACACAAAATATAGCGCTTAAACATATTCATCACAAATTTACCGGATATTCGTTTCGAACGCGTACAAATACGCGTTTAAACACGTTTAAAATCTGGTTTTAAACAGACACTCAGTGTTTAAAAAAAATGAAGTCGGAATTACAAAACGGAATTTGGTACCCTAGTTCACTTAAAGTCCAATAAGCATACTTCGGTACTATTTATATGGAACTTATAATATTTTGTTACAATTTGTCTCCAAAATTGAGTTACGATCTTATAATTAAAATAGATACAGATAAACGTTACGGTCAAAACAGGAAATCAAAATGCCCGGTCACCGAGACCACGCACATTGGCAATATATTTTGATCTGCGCAATAAATCATAATTAAAATTCTTGGTATAAGTTTCGGTAAAGTAGACTTTACACACTTAGCTTTTCAATTTTTTATTTTGATAACGTGTTTTTTTTTTATATACTTAAGACATTTCTCTATTAAATCAAAATCCATCAACTTTGATTTCAAACCATTTTCTTCCTCGTGGTCAAATTGTTTAAAATCATACAAAGTTTAAATATTTGCCTTCTGCCATCTTAAAAATGTATAAAGCTACTACTGTACTAGATTTCGTTAAGACGTGCATTGACTATTTCCTATTGTTTTGACATTTTAATCGTATACATGGGTATTTAATACATATTTAATTTCGAGTTTCGGAGTTTTGCCATAGAAGCGACGACATTCAATGCATATTTTATATAATTGAGCATAAAATAAATAGCTATATAAGCTAAAAATATATTAATGATGAAATTTAAACTTCCATAAATTCTTTAATAATGATTTCCGCAAACAGTTCAAAAATTTCCGAAAAAAGCGTCAAAAAAAAAAAAAAAAATTGAAAATAGGGCGTCCGGTAAAATGAACTTGTTCCGAATTGTCAATATTTTGCGCCCAATTGATTGAAATAGACTGTATCAAATAGACTGTAAGCAATGTCTGGACAATTCAAAATTTTAAATGTCCTACCCGTCCCCAAAAATCGGGTTTTTCCTATTTTGACCGTAAGCTCATAAGGTTATTTCTGTTTTGTTAATGCGGCTTTTTTTTTAAGTTTTTATTTTTATACATATTATATAATAGAAAAATATTCGTTTTTTTTTATGGCAATTACGAAAGGCTGGATTCGAAATGAACCGTTTGTTTTCCTCTACGCTATACTTATGTTCTTTGTTTTACGTGAATTTGGAAAACCACACGGTGAGTTAATAATTAATAATTATTACACTAACCTAATGCAAAATATAACCATAATTTACGACTTGATGACTTATTTATGTTTCCCCCCTACTTTATTACAGTTGATGATACTCTGTCACCAGACTATTCATATTGCGATAAATATGATGGTCGGTGTGAAAATGGCGGATTATTGGAATACACTATAGAAAACATTGCCATGTGTAAATGCCCGCCGGAATATTACGGAGAAAACTGCTCTCAATGTACATAAAATAATAATAGTTGATAATTATACTATTTCCGTAGTATATCGGCCGTGTAGTAAATAATATTACGTTTTGTTTTTTTTTAATCGAAGTAAACATCGTGGCTATCGCTTCCAAAGCAGTTTTTGGTGTGTTTGATAAATCAAACCCGGACATAAGTCGAGGAAAACCGATCACGTGGTGGTGGTCTATTTTACCGTTCACAGAAGATATCCAACTACAGAAAATATATTCGTGTAAACTATACCTGCCGTTTGATCATTTGATATCATTTATCGTTTACTTATTTAACCGTCGATATTCATTTTTAGTTCATCAAAACCTATTGATGAGATTAGACATGTTTTCTGCCGTGCGTATCAAAAGTTCAACGAATACAATATTCGAAAGAATTTTACCTCCCGCACACCCAATACACTGTCCAAACAGTAAATCATATTTTACGTTTTATTCATTTATTGTCTGTATTTAAATAATTTTGTAACACGAATTTATATGGTTTTTAGGAAATTTACCACAATTGTACATGGTGGAAAATAATATTATAAATAGGGCATCGGAAGAATTTATGAAACCAGACAAAAAAAAGCGGAATTTATTATTTCAAGCATTTTTTAAATATTTCGTTCTTCAGTATTTAAACGATGATTTCAATATGACTGTAAATACATTAATTGTTTTTGATAAATATAATATAATATAAACACCTTATGTTAATCATCAACTAAAATTTGCGTACAGATCACTGCTTCTCAGCTATATGGGTCTAATAAAGCTACTAAACAAGACCTCAGAAGCTTTAATAATGGGAAAATGAAAATTCAAAGCATAAACGGTGAGCAGTTTCCGCCGTATTTGAAATCTGCTCGCCAGGTTAAAATGCTTTATCCTCCCATCAAACTAAAATTACAACGTAATTGGGTAAGAATGAAAAATTAAATCATTTTTTGAATGTTCATTAATCAAAAATAAAAAAATACTGGTTTGAAAAGTTTGACAGAATAGTTCTTCAACATTCTTACAACACCCATAACACCAAATGGGCCATGGGTCATCCGATGTTGAGCATGGACCCGATGTTGTTCGTAATGTCAACGCTTTGGATTCGTGAACATAATCGCGTGTGTGATTTATTGAAACGCAAATGGTCGACGTGGACAGACGACCAAATTTTTAATACGGCCAAGTCAATAGTTATTGGCGAGATGATGAAGATAATGATGAGTGACATTATTAACGTGGATACGGGACATTCGTTTAAGTTTGATCTCAAACCCGAAATTTTCCACGATCAACTTAAAAATATCACATGTTCAAATACACCGTTCGAATTTCTTCTAACAAGCATGTGGCCGTCAAGTTTACCAGAGAAGTTCAACAACGTTTCGATAAGCACAATGCTGTTTAGCGACAATAGGTCAGTTTTAATTAAAGTTTAAGTAGTATAAAAAAAAGTTTCCATAGACACAATGCCGTTGAACAGTTGGTGTGTAGCGTTTGATCATATCGTCAAGCAACCGTATTTTACTTAATACTTTATAAATTTGTTTAAGTCCTTCGATATGCATTATTAATTTTAAAAGATAACTGTGAATGCACCACTTGTCAGTGGTACATTTAAGACTATTTTTTGATTAATGAGGGGGGGGAGGAGAGGCGTGAATTAACACAATTCAGGAAACTTGGTGATTTAGATTTGGTAAAGCTCATTCAATGGTGGATTTTAGTGGGTGCGATTTAGCGATCACCACTCATCCTAAGATTAATTTTTACTATAAAAAAAAACTTTTTTAACTTAGGTGTACATTTTTAGTATTGCTTTAATACTTGTTATTCCTATTCTTTTAGTTTATCTGTCATCTATACATGTGTGCTCTATAGCATCTAAACCAATGTTTTCCAATCATTTTTTATACAATGTGACCATTCAGAAAACTTTCGATTGGTCGTAAAATATCTGTATTAATCTGTATTAGCTGGTTGTCATTTTGACTGCGTATAACGGGGGAAACAATATCAAATAAATTCGTCACACACCTTTATTTTTTTATTTTGTAGGAGGGGGAATATTTTGACGTTCTCGGTTTCCCTGTGACGGGCCCACGGACTACTGGTTGGAAACCAATTGTCTAAAAGAAAGTGAATTTTTGAGCTAGATCACTATAGAGTATAAAGAGTGTGGCGAAATTATGTTTAGAGAAAAACTCAAATTTCGTGTCAAAATAAAATAAAATACCTAATAAAAACTAAATAATATGATTGCTCACTTAATCAAGATTATGGCACGGTAACACAGGAGATCGTATTCATTCGGAAAATAAATGGGTGGAGTGTATAAGTTCTGAAAATTATTCACCCGGAATATAAAAAGTAAAAATAGTAGTTGCCTGGACCGGTCATGGCATGCCGCTACAAATGGTATGGTACCATAGAAAACCTCCCGTATTCTGCCCATAAATACATTACTGATACTTTCATACATATATTTTGTTTCGTTGTTCAAATACCGAACATTATAAACTATTTAATTATCGTCGGAAATTTTAAATTTGCACGAATAAATATTATATTACACTATATTTCATTAAGTTTATTTTTTTAAAGACAAGTATTGGTGAACGGTTTGAGCAAAACAGTGCAACTTATGATCAAAGAAAAATTAGGAATGTTGACGTATAATAATTACGGCAATTCGACGGAACCGTTAACGAGTGTCCTATTGACCATGTCGAGGGCACAAGCTACACAAAGTTTCAACAACTACCGGAGACAGTTTGGATTAAATGCATATGCAAACTTTTATAAGTTGACTAAAAACAGGAATGTAGCTAAAAAATTGCAAAATCTGTATAAACATGTTGAAGACGTCGAATTGATAACTGGAATGTTAACTGAAAAAAGGGTTAACGGAGTTATACCCACTGCTACTATCATGACAAACAGTTTCATTGTTAATTCTATTTTGACAAATTCCATTACCAGTAAAGATTTATGGAAAGCAGAAACATTTGGCGGTGACGAGGGTTTCGATATTGTTAAAAATGCAAATATCGAAACATTTATCTGTAACAATTTGGGAGACAATTGTAATGATTTTAAAGTATCGTTATACGCAAAGTAAATTACTATTTTATCGTGATAGTTATCTCAGCAGGTAAGTATAAATTACTTTTTGTTGAAATTTTTCTCTGTCACTCGTATATTTAATTTTGATGGTGACTTCACAAATTAAAATTTTTTAGCGAAATATATTATAACTTTTAGGCTTAGGTAGGATATCCCTTAATTATAATCATACCCTACGATGCATAAGTTTATAAGAGCTATGTATTTCCGAGGACATTCTAATCAATAAAAAACTAAGAAATGTATACAATATAAATAAATAACTTACAACTAGTTAATTTTGAACGGAGGTCCGAATTTCCTAAAATAAAATCATCAAGTCATTAAAATAAAATATTACAGTGTTATTTACCAATATTAAATTTGTTCATTCGTATTATACGGACCTCGAAAATACATACCTCTCGTCAAAATATGCACTGTTAAGTATGAGAATAATATAGGAAATACGTATCTATGGACAAATTTGGCTAAAATCAATATTGGTAAATAACATCCTACTAGTCAATTTTATATTATAAAAAATTCCTACCTCCGTTCAAAATTGACTAGTAATATGTTATTTACCAATATTAAGTACATTATTCGGTATTACACGGGTATAAATGCCCTTAAGATTTACGTATCTCTTGTCAAATTATCCCCGATAATGTAAAATAGGGTGATCAGTTTTGCAAAAAAAAAAAACGGGACAAACAATTTTTAGTTTAAATACTCTAAAAAAACATACATATTTTTTTTATTTTATAGTTACATTTACAATTAAAATATTTTTTAACTACCTTTCTTAATATTTTAATACAAAACTTGATTACTTTTATTGGGTTGATGTCGATTGCTCATCATGTCCTTTATTATCAAATGTGTCGTTACTGTACTTTTGCGATGAACTAATTGCGTTTAACAGTTTTGGTTGTGTTAGCAAAAAATCATAAAAATCATTACACAAATATTTTTTGAAATGATTTTTCAAAATTATAATTGATTTGATGGTAGGAACAAGAAAGCGATTTTTTTCGTCCGTCCATAACACATTAGTGATAAAAAATACTCTTTCAATTGCAGAATTTGTTTCAGGCATTGCTAGAGAATATTCTACAATATTCCAAAAATTATTTATCAATATACTTTTACTATTTAAAATTTTATAGATAGCACACCATCTTTCTTCAACACAAACATATTTATTCTGCCATTCTTTTAAATTTTCATTTATAACATTAACTACATGATTATATTCATCAAAAAGAATATCTTCATCCACATTCCAACCGGTTTGTTTATTATTTTGCAAAATAAATGTTAAACTTTTTTGAATATCATTCCATGTTGGACAATTTATCAATTGTGTCCAACGAAATATTTTTAGTTCTTCAAATGAATTTCCCCACTTTTCAATATACAATAAAAATGTGTCATAAAACTGGTTAGTTTGCTCTATAAATTGTTTTTTTGTGTATTTATTTTTTGTCTCTAGTTCTAAAAGCATCGAGTTTACACTGGAAGTTGAAAAGTTTTGTGTTTTTTATTTTTCTACATAGTAATTCTAGTTCTTCTGATACTTCACATGCAGATATGTTGTCCCTTTCTATTCTTTTTATAGTGTCACAAACGACTTTTAATTGACTTTGTATAAAATGCAACCATATTATTGCAACGGGGTCACTAAAAAATGATTTAAAAATGGTTGGGCATTTATCCTGAGTGTCAAAGAACAATTTTAAAGCTGGATACATTTCAATAGTTCTGGAGACTGCTGGTTGTAAGGGTAGCCATCTTGTCTTTACACTTCCAAGTAAGTTTTTGTATTGTGTATTTGTAAAATCACAAAATTCTTTTAATACTTCCACTCTCGCAGTATAAATATAAAAGTATTGAAATATTTTATTAACGATACATTTGACATCAATAGGTAAGATATCTGTACTAGTTTGCATAGCGTTGTGCAGAATATGAGCTGCACAACCAATACCAGAAATCTTAGTCTTTAAATTATTGTTTAAAATCGTAAAAACATTTTTTGTTCCCCTCCTTGCAGCGCTTCCAAAATTAGTATTACAGTTGTCACCGGTAAATGCAATAATTTTGTGAGATAATTTATGTTTTGTTAAAATTTCCATAATATATGACGACAATATATCTGAAGTTTCTTCTTTCAAATTTTTGAATCCTAGCAATTTTATTTGAACTCCCGTTTTAGGATCGAAATATCGAATAAGAATTGGGACAGTTTTTAAATTCTTATGATTTGAAGTGTCAATCATATAACCGTCACAAAATTAACAGCTTTTAGTTCGTCTTTTATTTGATCCATTGCAAAAGGAGCCAATACATTCAGAATAATTGATTCACACTTGGTACGCGCACAAGAAAACTTTTTTATTAAAGCAGTAGTACAATCCATTGACTTAAAAGAATGGTTATGTNTTCGTATGATTTGAAGTGTCAATCATAACCGTCGCAAAATTAACAGCTTTTAGTTCGTCTATTATTTGATCCATTGCAAAAGGAGCCAATACATTCAGAATAATTGATTCACACTTAGTACGCGCACAAGAAAACTTTTTTTCATGTAACTTTTTTATTAAAGCAGTAGTACAATCCATTGACCTAAAAGAATGGTTATGTACTATAGTGTGAAATGCAAACATTCCCTCTTCTGCTGCAATTTTTAATCCTTCACTAGTTAAGCCAGCTGGTCCTTGTTTAATAAAATATGAGGTTACTTTGTCACTTTTTGAAGCACTAGATAAGGCCGACGTATGTTTTTTCTTTTCCATATGCTGTTTGATATCTGAGCGTCCTCCATGTTCGATTGAAAATACTGCCTTGCACACCGTACAAAAAACTTTTCCAATTACTTCACATTTTTTTAGGAAAGTAAATTCGGACTGTAAAGATACAGTGAACGTGCATCTCCTCTTTGGCATTTAAAAAAAAAAAACATAACGCATCAACTCACAAAAATTTAAAGAAAAGAGACGATACGTAATGGTTATAATAAACACAATCGCTTACTGTTCGTACGTCACTATTCGACATATTTTGTTGTTCGACTTTTTGATTAAACAAATCAATATAATAATATCTAAATATATCATCGAGTATAAATAGTATTATATATTTTAAATCGTAATCCATATGCTATACGACGTGTATCATGCTTATCTTATTTTATTATTACTATTTATATTGCTCGTCAACATCGGCACTCGACGTTCGTTCCACGGAAATTTTAGTCTGTTATTTATAACTTTGGTTTCAAGTTTTAAATATAATCTGTTTTATATTTGGTTCATAAATGTATNGATTATAAATAGTATTATATATTTTAGTTCGTAATGCATATGCTATACGACGTGTATCATGCTTATCTTATTTTATTATTGCGATTTGTATTGCTTGTCGGCATCGGCACTCGTCGTTCGCTCCACGGAAATTTTAGTCTGTTATTTATAACTTTGGTTTCAAGTTTTAAATATAATCTGTTTTATATTTGGTTCATAAATGTATTTTATTCTTTTACAATAACTCATAAATTATAATTTAATTATATGGAAATAACGGGATTAAAACGGGACAATCTTCTAAAAACGGAATAAAAATCGTCCCGTTCGAAGTTTTTCGGGACAACGGGACATGATGATCAAAATAGGTACAATCCCATTTTAAACGGGACGTATGGTCACCCTAGTGTAAAATTATAATATAGGAAATTAGTACCTTAGGTCAAAATAGACTAATAGGATATTATTTACCAATATTGAATACATTATTTCGTATTATATGGGTTAGAATGTCCTCGGAAATACATAACCCTCGTCAAATTCTTTATCGTAGAGTATGATGCTACTATAGGAATTTCGTTCCTCCGATCAAAACTGACTAGTAGGATGTTATTTATCAATATTGATTTTAGCCAAATTTGACCGTAGGTACGTATTCCCTTTAGTTTAATCATACCGTACAGTGCATAAACTTGTTGGGTTAATAAAGTATTGGTAATTAGTCCTACTTAATGGTGTACCTATGTTTCTGCGATTGTTTTATTAAATCCAAAATAAAAGCATCTTGACAAAAATTTTGGGGACGGTAGGGCGATTAGAAAATATTAATCTTCGATTTTGATGATTATACAATAACACACCTACAATTGATTTCATTAGTATTTACTATACCAAACATTTTCTGACTTACCTGTATAATGATAATTTGTTATTCCTGACAAACGTTTCTTTCACCCAGCACATTTGCGGTATTTAGTAGTTTCAATTGTTTGACATATCTCTGCCAACCAAGGTGGTTTATGATGAACAAACTGTCTTCATGTTAAAAAAATTCCATAACCACACCAAACAATTTGAATAAACATTCTGCAAATTTCGCTGTCAATATTGGTCTGTGAACGTGATGATCAAGGCCTCAAAGTACAAAATAAAAACCAAGTTCTGGTTGATATAAACTTTTTGGCATAGTAAATATTGATAAAAGCTTTTTAAAACTTAACTTTCTATTATAATCAAAATACTATCAAAAGACAAAGCCTTTTGAATCCCCGAGAAATCCTATTAATTTGCTCTTATTTTGTATTCATAATCGCGTATACATTGTCGTAAAAATAAAGAAAGATTTTTATTTTTGTTATTTTAACTGATTTTGTTTAAATGTGTAACCTTTAATTTCATAATGTCTATTACAACTACTGATTTTATTGAGAAAATCGACATAATTGTTCACATCATGAATGAACTTCAAAATAAAATAATATCATGTTTCAATGCATACCGGGAATCAAATACAGTACTTGATAAAAAGTTATGGTACTACTTAACATAAGCTGTAAAATAATGCTGGTAAGAATTTATTAATTTTATTAATTTATTAAATTCATCAATAACGTATCTAATGTCTCAAAAAACTACCAAGCAAATTTTCCAATATAAACAGTTTATCTGTGTTGCCACAGAATAGACGTCCTCGAATGTGTTACATCTTTGTTTTTTTTTAATGAAGTATTCAGGTGACGTTGATGGAGAAGACAAAAGTATGGAACACGGAAATCGAAAGTGGCAGAATTCGGGAGGTAGAGAAGAAAAGTAAACGAAAAAAAAATATTTTGAGAAATGATATTTGACCTCAGAGAAACAAACACTAGGTACCTACATAATAGGTTAGGCTATGTTTATTAGTGACGCTTTGAGGAGTATAGGAACCGAATTTTGCGGTATAAAACTCTGATAAATGAGCATCTTTAGGTTAAGCCAATATAAAAATGTATTAACTATTAGTTATACACGTAAATATTTTTATTTTATCGATTGGATAAAGTGAGCGGACCAAGTTTTCAAGGACGTTGATACACCAGCTCCTGCATGAGTAGCTGCCTGCAGTTACTATACCGTACGCTACATTTAGAGTTCTAGACGAACCGGAACAAACAAGACACGGCGCGTAAGAATCGACGAACTAAACGCGAGAAGAAAATACCGATTGCAACGAGCAATGAAAATGACTCATTTCATTCGATTATAATGTAATAAAAACGTCCAAACTTGTTATTATACTGTACATTTTATCACATACCTATTTCGTCCTTCTAATGTTGACAATTCATTATCTTATACACGAAACAATACCTGCGCGTCGACTATTGCAGCGGACGACGCTTTTTATTTTTATTTTTATTTTTATTTTACGTCGTTTATACACCGATGTGTGCAATTCTATTGAAATACCTACCGTTCGGTTGCACGCACGGCGGCAGCGACAAACAAGAAACCGATTATTATCATCATCGTAGGCTAGAAAATTAATTCTATCACGACCCGGACAAGGAGAAAGTAATAGGCAGGTAGTAGGTAAGTCAAGTCTTCCATTCACATAAATTAATAACTATTATGGTTTTTGTTGTTCGCTTACACGGACGACTGTAATTTATTCGCAATTTGGATTGTATACATGTATATGTCTATATTTATTACATATACGCACATCATATTACGCGTGGCTAACTATATTTTATTTTCCACGCGAATCGTGAAGTACCCGCCTAACATTACGCCGGCCATTATGGACAATATAATAAAACTGAAATCGTTTGCAAAACGAAATTATCTTCGTAAAAAAAAGGGGGGGGGGAAAGATCACGCAACACGTTTGAAGGTAGGTATACGAACAACTCAATAATAATTATTATCAACCGCCGGTTTTTTTTTTTCCGACGAAATAATCGCACGCGTTTTCGCGGTAGGTAGGTAATAATAATTTAGGAAGACATATAAATACTAGCTGGTAATTCATTTCGGTTTCACTACCGAAAATATTGTATTTTTATTTTTTATTTCTTTTTGCCTGTAAACCAGTTTTTCGTCGGAAATCTTGCTCCAATCAAAATGTTAACAAGAGACATGTTTTGTTGTATTTTGAAACTAATTGGTTCAATAGGATTTTCCTTGTAGTTTACATAATGGGAAAAACTGGAAGATAAACGTAGACAAATCGGGAAAATGTGCGGTTTCGTTGTTTATTTTCGGTTTTCTACTATTTTCGTAATTAAAGTTAAAAAAAAATTGTAGAAATCTTTAATTCTTTTAGGAAAGCAAACGCAAACTAAATAAATTTACTCTAAACTCGCATTAAAAATAAACTTTTAGCTAAACGATGATTTCTATTATTGTTTATTATTTTTCTGTTTGTAAACAACATTTCTACCAAAACTTTTGTTCTTCGGCTGTAACATCTTCAAGCTAAACGAACGGAATTTGTTTATTTGGTAAAACGATGAGGTCAGTTGTTTTTTTTGTTTTTGTTGTAGTTTTCTTAATAATCAAGGAAAACTTCGGTAAAACGGGAATATTTACGCGTTACGGATTCTGTTATTACCGATTTCGTCGCTGAAATAATCGTATAGGGACCGGGCATTTTCACATCAAACTTAGATTGACTCCGTTTTCAACGCAGTATATAATAATAGAGACAGGTGTTTGGCGAACATAGTGATTGCAGCAATTTGTGGACCAACAGACCGGAGAATATACGTCGATTGCACTCGATACATTCGACGTGTAGTTGCGATTTTCGCACGCGACCTTTGTCATTCGGTCCGCGTTTTGCGCGATTCTTCCGGTTAAGCAGGCCGAAAAAAAAAAAATACGAAAACGAAAACCTCCCGAAAGTTTGTGACGCCGGACCCGATTTCGAATGGCGATTTCCGCGATAGCGCGGTGTGCGATCGATCCCGGGTGTGCATATATAACATAATATACGTAATGTATAACAATAACAATAATGACAATAACAATAATGTGCACGTTCATTCGACTCGGTCCGTGAACGCGAAATTCGCGATTTACGCACTGTAACCGCGCGGTTACGTCTCGTTACTCGCCGATCGGGTTGTCACGTGCGAACTTTCACCGTTTAGTCAAAAAACTTTATTGTCGCGGATACCCGACCGTTTCAATAACGTACGACTTCCGGTCACGACGACAACGACGATTCTACCGTGCACGTTACACCCGCAGTCGTCGCGCCCCGCAGTGCGATGCCCGATACATCGTAACGATACAATTATTATCATTCTGTACCGATATATATATACATCCGCGTCTCCCACGGAAATTTTCGTATGTTACGGTTTTCGCGATTCGGCGACACCGCGATTTCCAATGATAGTCCGACACCGCGATTTCCAATAATGGTCCGACACCGTAGACGCATGATTAGGTATCGTTAAAATCGTAATGTTACAGCGGATGCGAAAAATACATAGCTTCACCGGAAACGCGTCGGCGTTTCGCGCGCACACATAACCGGGGGTAAACGTTTCGTGAATTTGTATTTTCGAGCGGAAAGAAAAACTGTCGGTCACCTACTTTTCCGGTGCCTGTACAACAGGCGCGAACATGAGGGACCTGGGAGACTGGGCTTC